TAATTCTTTTTGGTATATATGCGGATTAATGGGGATTGGCTGAGTCAAAATTTGGTATTTTTCTAGTTTCTAGATCCTGAGGAACTCGCCAGAATGCTTGTGATTTTTGCACATTGATTTTGTATCCTGAGACTTTGCTGAAGTTGCTTATCAGCTTAAGGAGATTTTGGGCTGAGACGATGGAGTTTTCTAAATATACGATCATGTCATCTGCAAACAGGGACAACTTGACTTCCTCTTTTCCTCATTGAATACCCTTTATTTCTTTTTTTGCCTGATTGCCCTGGCCAGAACTTCCAATACTATGTTGAACAAGAGTGGTGAGAGAGGGCTCTACGCAAAAAAACTAGAAAATCTAGAAGAAATGGATAAATTCCTGGACACATACACCCTCCCAAGACTAAACCAGGAAGAAGTTGAATCTCTGAATAGACCAATAACAAGATCTGAAATTGAGGCAATAATTAATAGCCTACCAACCAAAAAAAGTCCAGGACCGGACGGATTCACAGCCGAATTCTACCAGAGGTAAAAGAGGAGTTGGTACCATTCCTTCTGAAGCTATTTCAGTCAATAGATAAAGAGGGAATGCTCCCTAACTGATTTTATGAGGCCAGCATCATCCTGATACCAAAGCCTGGCAGAGACACAACAAAAAAAGAGAATTTTAGACCAATATCCCTGATAAACATCAGTGCAAAAATCCTCAATAAAATACTGGCAAACTGAACCCAGCAGCACATCAAAAAGCTTATCCACCACGATCAAGTCTGTTTCATCCCTGGGATACAAGGCTGGTTCAACATACGCAAATCAATAAACATAATCCATCACATAAACAGAACCAACGACAAACCCTACATGATTAATCTCAGTAGAAGCAGAAAAGGCCTTCGACAAAATTCAACAGCCTTTCGTGCTAAAAACTGTCAATAAACTAGGTATTGATGGAATGTATCTCAAAATAATAAGAGCTATTTATGACAAACCCACAGCCAGTATCATACTGGATGGGCAAAATATGGACACATTCCCTTTGAAAACTGGCACAAGATTTTTTCATCTTTTTTAGTTTTTGGGTTTTTTTACTACAAGAATATATTCTATTTTTTTATTTTTAAAGCTATAGTATTGCCACTTTTTACTTCTGGATCTCAAATCTTGAATTTATGTATTGACTAATCCATCTATTTCCTACTATTTTGAAATTAATCTTCTGCCAAATACTAAGTTTCCGTGTGTGTGGGTATTTTTTCTGCTATTTTGTTCCATTGGTGTATCTGTTCACCTTGCCCAGTTCTAATTATTTTGACTTTATAATGAATCTTGAAATCTTAAAGTACATTGTTCTTCTTCAGGAGTCTCTCATCTATCCTTATGTCTTTGTGTTAATAGGTATACATTTTGTAATTCAGCTTGTTTAGTTCAGTGAAAAACCCTTGTTTTTCTACTAGAATTGCATTAAATAGTGTGAATAACTTGGGACATTTCAGTATTTTAAAATACTGAATCTTCCCATCCATGAGCATGATACATCTCTCCATTTATTTGTCTTATTTTACTTCTATCCATAAAAAAGTTTTCTTTCTCCGTAAAAAAGCTTGACACATCTTTTGTTGAACTCATTCTTAGTAGACTATAGTTTTGTCGCTTTGATGAATGCTGTTTTTTAAATAACATTTCCTAGAAGATTGGAGCTGTTGTATAGTAATGCTCTTGATTTTTCAATATTGATATTCTATCAGTAACCCTGCCAAACTCTCATTTACACAATTATTTATGATTCAGTATACTTCTATTTCTTTCACTTCTTTTTTTCCTGGAGTTTTTGCACTGACAGTGTCTCTGCTACAGTATTGATGTAGTGAATACATCATGACCTTGTTCTTGAAAAGGAGCAAATTCAGTGATTCACTATTAAGCTTTACATGTATGCACGTATATACATATGCATGTATATATGCACGCATATACATACGCATGTATATATGCACGTATATACATATGTATATAGACACACACACATGCGCATACTTTGTAAGTGGGAAGATACTCTTAACCAGACTTTCTCAATCTTAGCACTGTTGACATTTTGAGCCAGATGATTTCTTTGTTGTGAAGGACTATCCTGTGCACTGTAGGATGTTTAGAAGTATCCCTAGGTTCCCCATAGTTATGACAATCAAAAATGCCTTCCCAACATTGCCGGATGTTCCCTAGAGGACAAAATCACTCATGGTTGAGAATTACTGCCCTAAATCAATTAAGGAAGCTATTTTCTACTATGTTTGCTAAGAGTTTTTAATCATAAAAAGGTATGGAATTTTAACAAACGCATTTTCTGTCTCTGTTGAAATTACCATTTTTTCCTCCTTTAATCTATTAATATAGTGAATTACATTATTATTTTCTAATGTTAATCTATGATACAGTTTTATTAGCATACCATAGTCTGTGAATTGTACAAAACTATGATACTTTTCCTCAGTTTTGGTGGTGCAAACATTAAAACAAAACAATATAAGTTAGATCCCACATTATACATTGAATTTTAATTGCTATATTAGAGCCAGTTTTACTATCTGGCAATATAACTTGCCTGTTTTACTGACAATCTGGTTTTAAGTAATCTGTTTTGGGGCTTACTCTTTCACTTTGAATAATCAAGTGTTACCTCTACTTTTTTTACACACGGATTTTTCGCTTATAAGTTTGTCAAACTATTAACTCATTTAAATGTCAAATTACTAAAATAAAAATAAAATATCTTTGCTTTAATTATAGGTATAACAAAGGAATAGAACATTGATTATTTGTAACTAGTGGGAAAATTAGATATGGCTATTCATTCAGTTGTAAATACTATTATAAACATTAACTGTTTCCTGCTGGTCCTCACAATGGAAACAGGCAGCATCACACTAAGTCTTGCTGTCATTTTCCTCTAAGTATTCTCTTAGAACTATATTTTCATAATCTTTGGAGGTGGTACATTTCAGACTAAAAGCAACTTTTCTGGTGGTTGTTTTAGCATTACTATGGAAATGAAATCACGTGGAAGTAGAAATGTTGTGATGATTTTAATAAATAGACTTAGTAGAGTCAGTAATAATATCAATAAGGGGTAGAAAAATAACATTTCTAATCATAAACCAGAAGTTGTCTGGGTTTAGGTAATAATTTGAGATAAATTTTATTGTGAGCTATTTTAAAGGCTTCTGCCTAATTTTTCTTTTTCCATCCTCTTATAGTCACGTTCTGTATGTAGCTCCCCTGTGATGGTAGCTCAGCCCATTTATCAGCAACCTGCATATCACTACCAGGTAAACATAAATTACAGTTAAAATTCTCTCTGAAACTTTCAGTCCTTTCTTAGCTAACTTTCATTTATTTCTCTCATGTAACTACTTTACTAATTACAAAGAGATACTTCATTAGAGAAATGTGAATCAAAACCACAATGATATACCATCTCACACCAGTCAGAATGGCTATTACTAAAAAGTCAAAAATAGCAGATGCTGGCAAGGTTACAGAGAACAGGAACACTTATACACCATTGGTTGGAGTGTAAATTAGTTCAACCATTGTGGAAAGCAGTATGGAGATTTCTCAAAGAACTAAAAGCAGAACTACCATTAGACCCATTACTGAGTATATAGCCAGAGGAATATAAATCATTCTACCATAAAGACACATGCATGCGAATGTTCATTGCAGCAGTATTCACAATAGCAAAGACATGGAATGCCTATCAATGACAGATAGATAAAGAAAATGTGGTACATATACACCAAGGAATGTTTTGCAGCCATAAAAAACAATGAGATCATATCTTTTGCAGGGACGTGGATGGAACTGGAGGCTATTATCCTTAGCAAACTGACACAGGAACAGAAAACCAAATACCACATGTTCTCACTTAGAAGTGTGAGCTAAATGATGAGAACTCATGAACACAAAGAAGGGAACAGTAGACATTGTGGTCTACTTGAGGGTGGAGGGTGGGAGGAGGGAGAAGAGCAGAAAAGATAACTATTGGGTACTGAGCTATGAAATAATTTGTGCAACAAACTCCTGTGACACGAGTTTACCTATGTAACAAACCTTCACATGTATCCCTGAACCTAAAATAAAAGTTTTAAAAATAAATAAAATAAATGATTAGTTAGAAAATAAAAAATAAAAAAGAGTTAATCCTTGGTAGTGTTTTTTTCTTTTTAAAATTTTTTTCATTGACAAATGATAATTATACCTATTCATGGGGTATGTAGTGATGTTTTGATACATATAATATCGTGATCAAATCAGAGTAATTAGCATATCCATCATCTCAAACATGAATCATTTATTTGTGTTGGGAGCAGTCAATAGCCTCCTTCTAGCTATTTGAAACTATGTATTATTGTTAACTATAGTCATCCTATAGTGGTATAGAACATTAGAACTTATTCCTCCCATCTAGCTGTAATTTTAGGGGTGTCTGGGATTTTTTGTTTTTTTTTTTAATTTTTATTTCCACAGGTTTGTGGGGAACAGATAGTATTTGGTTACATGAGTAAGTTCTTTAATGGTGATTTGTGAGATTTTTGATGCACCCATCACCCGAGCAGTATACACTGAACACAATTTGTAGTCTTTTATCCCTTACCCCCTTCCCGCCCCTTCTCCCTAAGTCCTCAAAGTCCATTGTATCATTCCTATGCCTTCTCATCCTCATAGCTTAGCTCCCACTTTTGAGTGAGAACATAGGATGTTTGGTTTTCCATTCCTGAGGTAGCTGTAATTTTGTATCCTTTCACAAATCTCTCCCTATTTCTCCTTTCCCTCTATCCTTCTCAGCCCCCGGTATTCTTTTTACTTCTATGAGATCAATTTATTTTTATTTATTTATTTTTTGTAGCACATGGTACTCTTTATTGTGACGCTCAGTGGAAAACATCTGTAAACCGGCTTACTGTAGTGATGACAGTTGCAACTCATGCTAAGGCACTTTTATCATATAAAAAAGGGATTAGGGTAGGAGTTACATTCATTTCTTTTTGACAGCAATGGGACCTGAATTCAGAGCTTTGTAGGCATATGCAACTTTTACATCACTTCATGATTTGCGAGTTTGTTTCCTTTAAAAAAAAAAAAATGCCTTCTTGCCATATGTAAGTCTAAATGCTGCATATACAAAAACAGGAATACAAGTTGAATTGAGCAACCAGTGTAGACCAGCAGAGGATAAGCTACTCTCTTGTAAACATTGTTTGAAAGGCAGTTGAAAAGACTTGAAATTTTATCACTTATTACAAGAAAGAGGGGGAAAATAAAACTTTTTTATTTCAAAAATATCTGTGCAGGTGACAGATTTTTGAGATCAGTGTTTTTTGGCTTCCACATATGCATGAGAACATGTGTTGTTTAACTTTCTGTTCCTGGCTTATTTCATTTAACATAATGACCTCCAGTTCCATCCATGCTGCCATGAATGATAGGATTTTATTCTTTTTTATAGCCAAATAGTATTCCGTCATGTATATATATACCACATTTTCTTTATTCATCTGTTGTTGGACACCTAGGTTGATTTCATATTTTGGCTATTGTGAATAATGCTGTAATAAACATGGGGGTGCAGATGTCTCTCTGAATCAATGATTTCCTTTTCTCCAAATAAATTCCGCATAGTGGGATTACCAGATCATATGGTAGTTCTACTTGTAGTTTTTTCAGGGACCTCCATACTGTTCTCCACAGTGGTTATACTAGTTTGCATTCCTACTATAACAATGTAGAAGAGTTTCCTTTTCTCTACATCCTCACCAGCCTTTGTTATTTTCTCTTTTTGACAATAACCATCCTAACTGGGGTAGATAATACCTCATTGTGGTTTTGACTTACAGTTTCCTGATAATTAGTGATGTTGATCATTTTTTCAAATATTTGTTAGCCATTTCTTTGTCTTCTTTTGAGAAATGTCTATTCAGATCATTTTCCCATTTTTAATCAGTTTATTTTTTATTTTGCTGTTGTTTATTTTGTTTATCCTTGTATATTTGAATATTAATTATGTGTCAGATAGGTAGTTTACAGATGTTTTCTACCATTCAACAGGTTGTGTCTTCACTCTGTTGATTGTTTTCTTCACTGTGCAGGAACATTTTAGTTTAATGTATTCAAACTAATGGGATGAATTAGGGAGAATTCCCTCTGCTTCGATTTTTTGGAACAGTTTGGTAAGACCTGTATTCTTACCTAAAGGTTTGGTAGAATTCAGCCATGTAGTTCTGGACTTTTCTTTGTTGGAAGACGTTTTAATTACTGATTCAATCTTGTTACTTCAGTTTGTTTCTTCAGGTTTTCTTTTCATTTTCTTTTCTTTTTTTTTTTTTTTTAAAAAGACGGAGTCTCGCTCTGTCGCCCAGGCTGGAGTGCAGTGGCGCGATCTCGGCTCACTGCAAGCTCCGCCTCCCAGGTTCAAGCCATTCTCCTGCCTCAGCCTCCCGAGTAGCTGGGACTACAGGCGCCCGCCACCTCGCCCGGCTAATTTTTTATTTTTTTTAGTAGAGACGGGGTTTCACCGTGTTAACCAGGATGGTTTCAATCTCCTGACCTCGTGATCAACCCGCCTTGGCCTCCCAAAGTGCTGGGATTACAGGCATGAGCCACTGCGCTTGGCCGTGTTTCTTAAGGTTTTCGATTTCTTCAATCTTGGTTTAGTCTTGGCAGATTGTGTATGTTCAGGAATTTATCTGTTTCTTCTAGGTTTTCTAATTTATTGGCATATAGTTGTTCATAATAGTCTCTACTGATCCTTTGTATTTATGATATCCATTGTGATGTCTTTTTCATTGCTGATTTTATTTATTTGGATCTACTTTCTTTTTTTTTCTTAGACTAACGGTTTGTCGATTTTATCTTTTTAAAAAGTCAACCTTTTGTTTTGTTAATCTTTTGTATTGTTATGTAGTCTCAACATTGTTTATTTCTGCCCAATTATTATTATTATTTCTTTTCTTCTACTAATTTTGGGTTTAGCTTGTTCTTGCTCTTATAATTCTTAGAGGTACATTGTAAGGGTGTTTATTTGAAATATTTCTAATTTTTTGATGTAAGCATTCATTGCTATAAATTTGCCTCTTAATACTGCTACTGTTGTGTCCCATAGGTTTCGGTATGTTGTGTTTCTGTTTTCATTCTTAATTTCTTCCTTCACCCACTGGTCATTCAGCAGTATGTTGCTTAATTTCCATGAATTTGTATAGTTTTGAATGTTTTTCTTCTTATTGATGTCTTCTTTTATTCTATTGTGTCAGATGAGATACTTGATATAATTTCAGTTTTTTTTAATTTTTTGAGACTTGTTTTGTTTCCTAAAATATGGTAATTCTGGAGAATGTTTTATATGCCGATGAAAAGAAAGTATATTCTGCAACTGTTCAGTTAAATGTTCTCTAAATAGCTGTTAGGTCTGTTTGGCCTATGGTGCAGTTTAAATCCATGTTTCTTTGTTTTTGGGTTTTTTTTTTTGGTTTGTTTTTGTTTTTGTTTTTTGTTTTTTGTTTTGTTTTGAGAAAGAGTCTCACTCTTGTCACCCAGGCTAGAGTGCAATGGCATGATCTCGGATCACTGCAACCTCTGCCTCCCAGGTTCAAGCAATTCTCCTGCCTCAGCCTCCTGAGTAGCTGGGATTACAGGTGCATGCCACCACGCCAGGCTAATTTTTGTGTTTTTAGTAGAGATGGGGTTTCACCATGTTGGTCAGGCTCGTCTCGCACTCTTGAACTCATGATCTGCCCACCTTGGCCTCCCAAAGTGCTGGGATTACAGGCCTGAGCCACTGTGCCCAGCCTATTTATTTTCTTTCTAGATAATCTGTCCAATGCTGAGAGTGGGGTGTTGAAGTCCCCAACCACTATTTTATTGGGGTTTCTCCCTCTCTCTTTAGATCAAATAAGACTTGCTTTATATATCTGGGTGCTTTGTGTTGGGTACATATGTATTTACATTGTTATATTCTCTTGTGGAATTGATCCCTTTATTATTATATAAATGTCCTTCTTTGTCTCTTTTTAAAGCTTTTAACTTGAAGTCGGTTTTGTCTGATATAAGTATAGCTATTCCTGCCTGCTTTGGTTTCCATTTGCATAGAACATGTCTTTCTATCCCTTCACTTTCAGCCTAGGTGTGTCTTTACAGGTAAGGTGAGTTTCTTTTAGGTAGCGTTCTTTTTTTAATCTATTCACCCAGTCTCTATCTTTTAAATGGAGAATTTAACCCATTTGAATTCAGGGCTGTTATTGACAGGTGAGGACATCCTGTCATTTTATTTATT